GCTTTCCCTGCGGCCGCCCTACTTTAACCCTAAATCTCGCCTTAATAGCTTTTCGGCCCTGGCCTTTCCCCAGACCGTAGTGTTTTCCTCTCCTCTGGCCCACCCCTGCGGGGTGGTAGTCCCGCCCCGTCACCCCCAGATTTCTATCCCCGCTACCTGATGGCCCAGCGGCGCCCAGCCCGTCCCCTGCTCTGTGATCGCCCCACCTAATTCTAACCGGTCCCTTCGATGGGCCCTGGGTGCTGGGGACCCCGAGATTCTGGGCTTCGGTGCAGGAAACAGTGGGCGCAGGAGTCAGGGGAGGTGAGCAGGGTGAAGCTTCTCCCTGGGTGAGGTGGCAGCGCCGCCGTTAGGCAGAGAGGACACGCTGGGCATCTGCCGCGTGCGGGCGGGGTTCGGGGGCTGGAAGCTGCCTTTGGGGGGGCAGGGTATCAAGAGGGGCGGGGGGATGGCGGCCCTTCACCTAATGGTCTTAAGTGGGGGTCTCCCTTTGCAGGAGGCTGCAAAATTTTGCTGACAGATTAACTCTCCCGGCCTCCCGCCTGGCCTGCTGCCCCTCCCCCACCCCCAGCGCAGGTGCCCCAGCAGGGGGGTCCCTAGGGGGGCAGGGCAGGTCAGTGAGCTGTACCAGCGCCTTGGCGCCAGGGGGGTCCTACCTGTCTGCTCTAGCCACCGCTAGCCCATGGCCAGGCCAAGCTTTTTTTTTTTTTTTAAGATTTATTTATGCACAAAAGAGCTGGGGTACAGGCCACAGGTGGGGCGTGAGAGGACTCCCCAGAGACAGAGTAGGGGGCAGAACAGGCGGATCCACTGAAACCCACTGCTGAGGGAGCAGCGGGGAGACAGGAGAGGTCTGCTGCGCCCTGGGGTCCCTCCCTGGCCTGGGGTGGAACTCGGGCTGCAGTGGCTGGGGACAGCCTCACAGTGCTGGGACTTCACCCCTGCACCCCCAGGGAGCCCCCAGCTCTATTCTTGCTGTCTTCTCCATAAGCAGCTTCCGGTCTCAACCTCTGAGGTCCGGGCGCGCCACCAGCCCGACCCCCTCCTTCCCTCCCCGCCATCTTTCCCGCTCCCTTGCCTGGGGCTCCGGGACCCCCACCTTCCACCCCACCCTGTCCTCCCCGCGGTGCCCACAGCCCGCCCCCAAAGCCGGCCCT